AACATCCTCTCACTTTTCATAAGCAAATTATAGAATTAATTAAAATTGCAGCACATAAAACCTGCTCTGTTACTGGAGACTAATGTAATTCAAATGTGGAAAAGCCAAACAGTTCTCAACAAAACTAATTTAGATGGATGGGTCAGACAGGAACTTGGAACAGAAGCTGACCAGAAACATTTCTAGTGAAAGGCAGTAAGCAATAAATGTTATATTCCTAAATTTACATGGAAAATATTGAATTCTAGACTGTTACCACAATGATTAAAAATATTACTTTAATTTGCAAAAATGCTTAAATACATTTCACATGAAAACAAAAAAACAAACAAACAAAAAAAAACACAAAGCCAGGAGGCAGAGGCAGGCAGATATCTGTGAGTTCAAGGCCAGCCTGGTCTACATAGTGAGTTCCAGGCCAGCTGGGGCTTCAGGGAGACCCTGTCACCAAAAGACCCCGCCCCCCAAAAATCACAAAGCCTTGTAAAAATTAATGTGTTCTCTGTAAAATCAATGATTATACAATGTAAGTGGCATGAAAAACAATAAGAATTTTATCTTTAAGCTTCTTTACACTCATGTGTGCCCTCAAAGACTGTACTTCTATCTATAACATTTTATCATTTCAAACACAATTATTGAAGAAAAGTGACTTCTTTACACAGAAATTCCGACGTTCACTGTTGTAAGATTCATCACCTCTAAAACAAGGATAAATGGAGTGACAACACAAAAAGTTAAAATTTTTCATGAGGTAGTAACATAATCTCACTGGCAAAGTACTGAAGACTGTATTCTCATATAGTTCACTTGAAAAAAAACTTACAAAGAAAAAAAGAATGGGGTCATAGTAAAATGATAAAACTGGAAAGTTTCCTCCTGAGTCATCAACTTCTTTTAGTAAGTGAAGGAAAGGCATACATGGGCAAAGAGGAAAGTGGAGATCAGAAGCAACAACTACAGATACAGATACAGATACAGATGTTCATTACCAAAGGACTACTCCCATGACAGCTGTTAGTCCTTTGCAGTTGCTAGGAGCACAAGACAGTAGGCAAGGCCAGTTTTCAGGATATAGAGCAAGTCTAATGGTAGCACAACTATATCTATGAAGACCCTGTCCCACCCCCAGTACTTCTGGATATTCCTTTAATGTTCTATTCTCTCTTTACAGTATAAACTCCTTCTTTTCTTCTACCCCAAATACCTTTAATAAATACTACTTTTTGGGGGGGGGGTCTTTTTGAGACAGGGTCTACCTATAGCCCCAGCTGGCCTGGAACTCACTATGTAGACCAGGCTGGCCTTGAACTCACAGAGATCTGCCTGCCTCTACCTCCCAAGTGATGGGATAAAGGCGTGCGCCACCAGACCTGGCTCTACTTTTGTGACCGGGTCTCCCTATATCAGGGTCTTCCTGTAGCCCTGGCAGGCTGGGAACTCTTTATGGACACCAGGCTGGCCTTGATCTCACAGAGATTTGCCTACCTCTGCCTCCTGAGTCCTGGGATTAAAGGTGTGCACCACAACATCCAGCTAATATTGACTACTTTTTAAGAACTTTGGGTATTCCTTAGTGTTAATGCTATTTTAGTATCTCACTCCTGGTTGGGTTTGGTTTAAAAAAAAATTTTTTTTTGAACAGGTCTCATTCTGTAGTCCAGGTTGGTCTTCAAAGCCTTAAACTCATAATACTACTCCTGCCTCAGCTTCCTGAGTTCTAGTATTACAGGCATGCAACATCACATTCAGTTTTGCATTTCCCGCTCCCCCCAGTTTTCAAAGCATTCCTATGTCTGCTGTAACTTCTATGATAGCCAGTCTCAAAGAAGAGTCATCCTACAATGAACAGAGTTGATGGCTAACCTGAGTAAGAGTAAGCAAGAGGGACCCATGTCTCCTTGAGCACTAAGACAGGAGTTAAGTACTATAAATACTATTAGATACTGCTATTAGGATTGTTACATTTATGCTAAATATTCATTAGGTATTTTAATGCTTTCTGTTACATTTAAAACTGCAAAGAGCAGGAACAGGCCTGTGTGGCAAGATTTATGCCTGGAAGCCCCTTTATATGCAAAGATTGGATAGCTCACATGGCAACTCAGCTATTTTGTATATTTTGCAGTCACTCTGAGGACACTTCAGCAGTTAGCTGCAGAGGACTATTACATCCACTGCTGAATTCATGCTCCAGTCAGGACCACTCCAGACAGTCACCAGGCTGGGAAAGGAATACTTTCTAAGCATGATAAGCTTCAGTGAATCTACATGACCCTACAGCTATTTTCACTCAGTCAGGAGTGAAGCAGCTCTCCTGGCAGCCCAGCAAAAGGCCTGTAATTAGTAGAAGCACAGTCTTCCATTTTCATAAAGGACCATGCCATGAGTGATGCAAACATTGAAGGATTTCCACATCACATCCTGCTACTGGTTAGACAGTCTAATTGGCTCATTTTTGGAATCAGTAGGGAGATACCTCCTATGTTGGTCCCTAGCACTGCAACACAAGGCTCAGTAAAGGTTTATCTGAACTGTTTTCAATTTGCCTACTTTTGGTTGTTGTAAATGAGCTGAGCTGGGAAGATGGACAGGGGACAATGACACAGGCAGCAAAAGCAGCAACAGCACCAGTAGCATCAGGATGGAGATCTGCCTGCCTACCTCTAAAAAAGTGCTTTTTATTAGGTAAAGATGTTACTGCATTTGGTTTTGAATTTTAATATTAACTAGCTTTCATAGAGAATTCTCAGCAGGGGTGGCCTATAAATCCAAGATAATTTTGAAGTACTGAGCAAAGAATAGTACTATATATGCTTTAAAAAAATCAAAGATTAGTGACATTACAGAAACTACAACCATAAAGACATAATCATAGGCTGGTAAGATGATGCAGTGGTTAACAGCACTTGTTTTTCCAAACAGCCTAAGTTAGGTTCTCAGTGCCCACCTCAGTAGACTCACAACTGCCTGCAACTCTAGTTTCCAGAGATTCAACACTCTCCTCTGGCCTCTGCAAACACCTAAACAAGGCAGCATATACTCACACAGACATACACATAAATAAAAAGAAATCTCTCTCTGTTTTTTTTGGTCTTATAGAGAGACAGGGTCTCCCTATGGCCCCAGCTCGCCTGGAATTCACTATGTAAACCAGGCTGGCCTTGAACTCAAGAGAGATCAGCCTGACTCTGCCTCCTGAGTCCTGGGGTTAAAAGTGTGTGCTACCACACCCGGCTAAAAGAAATCTCTTTAAAAATTCATATTCACTAAATAAAGGTAGGCCACTTCTAAAAATATAAAACACATAAAAATCACTTCATTACCAATTGTCAGAGTAGACTTTCCTAAAGAAGCAAATAAGAATATGATTTGTAAATTATCTGCATTTCTCCATTTCAGAGGCCACCCAAAATGAAATAATTTAAAGTATCAAGGCAAGTTATATTAAGTTCTGTTGTTCTGTGCCCATAAAATTATTACCATGTAGTAAAGTATACATTTCTCGCCTCTTAGAAAAATTTCTTTTCATCTGTAATATTGTGGTATTGAAAAGTACTTGCCAATATGAGTAATGATGCTTTAAAAAAACAAGGTGGTATAGTTTCTCAGTTCCTCCTTTATTCCCTAATTTTCTTACTGTACCTAATGAAAAACCAGAGTCCCTTCACTGCTTGATGACCAGCCAGCTGCAGGTTTTCCTGAGGAGGTTTAAGCCCATATAAAGGTCTTAAACATTCTTGAGCACTAATAAAGGTATGAAAATTGTTGTATAAAATACTGAAAGGAAATTGACCCTAACCCTAAGTGAAAATTACTTAAGTAATCATAAACTCAATACTCTGAACCTTGCAGCAGACATTCTTGGGAGAACATATCTTTTCTCTTGTGAGTATCTGGCTTCAGTATTCTGTAAGCAAGTTCCCCTAGAAAATGCTCTGGGTTGACCACCCCGTTATTAAGTGTTTCTTTCTGTAGAATTCTAAGTGACCTTGAGCTCATCAAACATCAGGGCTTTCCCTTGTGTATATTCCCCTTTACCTTGCCACAGGTTTAGGACAACTCCAGTCACAGGTCAGAGGGAGTAAGTAGATTCACAGTCACAATGTCATAAAGACTCTTGGAAAACAATTTTTATTAGTTTAATATAGCTTTTTTTCTTATTTTTATTTTAATTTATGTGTATGAGTGTACTGCCTCCATGTTTGTAAATGCACATGTTGTACAATGCCCATGGAGCTCAGAAGAGGAAATCAGATCTCCTGGAACTGGAGTTACAGATGGCTGCTAGTCACCATGTGGGTGCTAGGAACTGAACCTGGGTCCTCTGTAAGAGTAGTCAGTGCTCTTAACCTCTAAGTCATCTCTCCAGCCCAGTTTAATATAACTTTATATAATAAAGACTTCTGTGATTTTAAAGTAATTTGAGTAAATCTGTGAAATGGTGTGCTTGCAATAAAAATTTAGACAACACACTATTCTTACTAAGAGAAAGTATATTTATTGAGTCACTGAAACTATTTAATTATAAGTTTATCATTAAATTCTACCCAAATCATGATTATTATTCTGGTCTTTTCTCAGTATGATATTCACTTAACAGAGTTTACTACAAACCTGGGCATGTCTGTATACTTTGAGAAGCTGCCATGTAACTCCATTCAGGAAATTAATCTAGACTAGGAATATAAATTCTTACTACTTAGGATGATGTCAGATTTTCATACATGTACACTCTGTTGAGGAATTTGTTTTCAAAAACTTTATTGAACTGCTCCCATGTGGTCTAGTGGTTAGGATCCCATGCTCTCTCTCAAATACTTTACTGAATGTTAACATTGAATTTTTATGTAGCATATGAATTAAATTCCTAAAGTAAAAATTATACTGAACTTATCATACAAGAGAAATAACAAAAGAAATCAATGTCTTGCAATTTCTAGTTAAAATGCTTTTTTGTTTTCAAATTTCCACTTTTATTTGTCTTAATTCTACAGTACCTCACAGGCTTCCTTTCTCGAAGCAAGTCTTCCAAACTCTGTCCACAGTGCTCAGCCACCACCACCAGTCTTTCTGAGAATAAAAAGGAAATTTACTTTATATTTAATACATTTTAATAACAAGATTGATGATTTTGACATATAATACAAGTGACAATATTTTTATATATTATTATTTTGTGTATGCATGTGAAGACACACCATGACATACCTATGGAAGTTAGAAGTCAACTTTGTGGGAATCAGTTCTCTCCTTCCAACTTTATATGGGTTCCAGGGCTTGAACTTAGGTCATCATGCTTACAATGCAAATGCTTTTACTCATGAGCCACCTCACTGGTTCCCAAAATAGCTGTATTTTAAATGCGCTTTAAATGAACATCTAATAAAATGAAATAAAAACTGGATTGCCACATGTAAAATAATGAAATTAGACCCATCTATCACCCTGTACAAAAATTAGCTCCAAATGGACCAAAGACCTCAATGTGAAACCTGAAATGCTAAAACTGTTAGAAGAAAACATAGGTGGTGTCCTAGAAGGCAAAGGTATAGGAAAGGACTTTCTAATAGGACTTTGTTCACTCAGGAATTAAGGTCAATAATTGACAAATGGGACCTCATTAAAAAGCTCTGTACAGTAAAGGAAGCAACCAAATGAGGCTGGAGAGATGGCTCCGTGGTTAAGAGCATTGGCTGCTCTTGAATAGGATCTGGGTTTGATTCCCAGCACCCACATGGCAGCTAACAACTGTCTGTAACTGCAGTTCCAGGGGAATCTGATGTTGTCTTCTGACCTTTGCAGGCACTCTATGACACAGGTGCGCTTACACACATGCAGGCAATACATTAATATACATAGAATATATTCTAAAAAGGAAACAACCAATCAAGTGAAAAGGAAGCCCCTAGAGGGGGAAAGATAATCTTTGCCAGCTATATATCTAACAGAGGATTAATTTTCAGAATATAAAAAAACTCAAAGAAAATATATGAAACAATTAAAAAATGGGCTACAGATCTGAACAGAGAAGTCTCAAAAGAAGAAATAAAAATGGCTAAGAAACTGGGAGTGGTGGCACATACCTTTAATCCCAGCATTCAGGAGGCAGAGGCAGGCAGATCTCTGTGAGTTCGAGGCCAGCCTGGTCTACATAGAGTTCCAGGCCAGCTGGGGCTACAGGGAGACCCTGTCTCAAAAAAAAAAAAAAAAAAAAAGGCTAAAAAATACCTTAAAAAGTGCTGAACATCCTTAGCAATTAGGGAAATACAATACAAATTAAAACTACTTTGAGATTTCCTCTTACCTCAGTCAGAATGGCTAAGATCAAGAAAACAAATGATGACAAATGCTGGCAAGAATGTGGGGAAAAGGGAACCCTAATTCACTGCTGATGGCATTGTAAACTGATACATTCAATATGGAAATCTGTGTGGAGAACTCTTAAAAAATATCACTCCTGGGGGCTGGAGAGATGGCTCAGCAGTTAAGAGCACACACACTGCTCTTGCAGAGGACCTGGGTTCAATTCCCAGCACCAACATGGTGGCTACAAACTGTCATTAACTCTAGTTCCAGGGGAATCTGAAGCCCTCTTCAACCTCCGTGGCATTACATGACATGGGTACACTCACATGCAGGAAACACACTCATACACATAAAATAAAAATAAATATATTAAAAAAATATTTAAAAAAAATCACTCCTTGGCATATACCCAAAGGACTCAGTTTCTTACTACAGAGAAACTTGCTCAGTCATGTTTGTTGCTGTTTTTTTAAAATAGTTAAGAAATGGACACAATCTAAATGTCCCTCAACCAATGAGTGGGTAATGAAAATGTGGTACATTAACACTATGGAGTTCTACTCAGCAGTAAATAAAAACGAAATTTGCAGGTAAATGGATGGGACTAGAAACTGTCATGTTAAGTGAGGTAACCTGGACTCTTGCTCATTTGTGGATCCTAGCTCCAAATACTTAGATGTGAGTATATATCCTGATATTACTGTAAGAGCCAGGGAAATGGAAAGTAACGGGTGTGTGTGTGTGTGTGGCATAGCTTTAGTGTCAACTTGACACACGTGGGTTGAGGGAGCCTCAATTGGGGAATTGCCTCCATTGGACTGGCCTGTGGCCATGTCTGTGAAGG